CCCCCTTGGAGAGCCCGGCAAGCTACTGAGAGTATTCTGCCCGCATGGCAGAGCCTGGCAAGCTCCCCATGGCATATTTGATATGCCAAAAACAGTAACAAGTCTCACAATGGAGACGTTACTGGTGCCTGCTTGAACAAATCGATGAACGACGGGAAGACAGTGCTACAGTGCTACTAATATCCCTAGTCATTTTGTATAAACACAGTGAGAGATATATTAAACTTAAAGGGTGACTCTCCTGGGGACATCTCACAATATAACCCAGACTACAGTCCTCAGTTCAGGTTAGTCTCTCCTAATCCCAGCAGGGTCCTTATTCAGTTGCTTCTTGTTGGGTCATGACAGAGTTTGTTCCATCACCATACTCTTAACATTATACTTCTTATGGCACTTAGCTTGTGCCATTTCGATGCCAGGGTAGCTTACAGCTTGCCCTGGATCCATCCAAGTTCCTCGACAGGACCCTCCTTTTGGGGGTGTTAGGAAGTAAGGATAACTGAGGCTTAAGTCAAATAAATGTGATGGATGCCCAGGAGTAAATATTACTTGGAGTCAATTAACACCCCTGTTACAAAAGCATAACATCAACTGTCTTCTGGTATTTATACAAAAAGGACATTGCAAAAAGTATAGTCGAAGTGACATATGCACTTGTTTGTTCATTGCAGCACTGTTTACAATAGCCAGAATCTAGGAAAAAACCGAGTGCCCAAGAACAAATGACTGGTTAAAAGAAACTTTGGTACATCTACACAATGGAATACTATGCAGCTGTTAGAAAAGATGAAGTCATGAAATTTACATACAAGTGGTTCTACATGGAAAGTATCACGCTAAGTGAAATGAGTCAGAAAGAGAGGGACATAGAAAGATTGCATTCATCCGTGGAATATAAAGTAACAAAATAGGAGACTAACACCCAAGAATAGCCGAGATAAGTACCAGGAGGTTCGCTCCATGTCTTGGAGACCAGCCGCACATTGCTGGGTGAGAATGCAGCTCAGATAGAAAGAGGAACACCAAATAAAGGGTGTTGGGAGGATCCTCCCGGGATGGGAGATGCATGCTGAAAGTAGACTATAGACCAAACATGATTGCCACTCAATGCCTCTTTAGCAAACCTCAGTACCCAAAATGAGAGAGAACAAAAGGGAATGCCCTGCCACAGAGGCGGGGTGGGATGGGGGGATGGTGGTGGTGGTGGTGGAAGGGATACTGGGATCCGTGGTGGTGGGAAATGGGCACTGGTGGAGGGATGGGTATTTGATCACTGTATAATTGAAACCCAAGCACAAAAATTTGTAAGTCTACAACTGTACCTCGTGGTGTTTCACTAATAAAAATTAAAAATAAATAAATCAATCAAAAGGACATTGCTAATGCTTGCAAAGGACATAAAGGAAAGAGTAAAGCAATATAGGATTATTAGTGCCTGATGGAACTGGGTGTGCCTTGGGAGCACTGTGGTGGGAGTAACTCAATAAACTTAAGATCCCTGTGGGAGGAACAAGGACAAACCAATGTTATGCAACAAATGAGAATTTCTATTGGATTCCTGAAGCACAAGGAATTTCTAAGAATTTCCAGAATACTAAGCAGAGCCAGGGGATAAGCACAGGAGTTAAGGACCCTTGTACCACATGGCCTCCCAAGCACTGGCAGGTGTGGCCTTGGAGGCTCCCAAGCAGTACCAGGGTGGCCCTGAGAGTCCCCAGCACCACCAGGCCCCAGAGGTACCAATTCTTCAGACCCTAGCACTGAACTGCCCATCTAGGTGGCTGAGAATCAATGGTACTGGCCCCTGGGTCCCCTAAATATCACTTGGGAAGTCCAAATAAACACTGGAATTTAAGATACTACAAATACAGTCTTATGTACTGTAAGAACTTTTTTCTTGCAGGGGTTGGAGAGAGAGAACTTTTGGCTATGGGATTTATCTGTTTATTTACTTTCAGCAGTGCTGGGACAAGGCAGCAGGGTGGGGACATGCAATGCTGGGGATCAAACCCAGTATCTCACTCATGCAAAGCTGGTGGCCTTACCCCTTTGAACCACATCCCAGCTCCTGATGTGCTTATGTTTTGTTTTTTGGGCCACACTGGCTATGCTCAGGATTACGCCTGGACTGGGCAAGGGCCATATGGGGTGCCGAGGATCAATGATGGGTTAGCCGCATGCAAGGCAAGCACCCTGCCCATGGTACTATCTCTCCAACCCCTGCAAACTTGGTTTACTATACAGCACAGAGATGCTTAGATCATGTTTAACCAATGTTAGACTCACAGACACACAATCTGTGTTTCAATAAAGTGGACACTTGAGAACCACTACATCCACATCCCATGAATGCTATTGTCTGTTGTTTATGTTCATTCGTGTTTTCACATTGGCTGAAAGTTGGGGTACTCATCTGATGAGTAAAGGCTCTCCCCTGCTCTGCATCCCAACACTCATCCCTTATTAGCATTTATCACATAGTCCTTCTTTCGGCAGTGATACTCCAAATACAGTCCCTCCAGGACAGGGATGCAACTTACATGATCCAAATTACCAAGGTCCAGTCCCCTGTCTGGCAATATCAGACTTCTAAGGGTTGCTTAGAAGGAAAAACAAAACGGGGCCAGAGAGACAGAGCAATGGATTGAGAGCATGCGCTGCATGGGGAGGTCTGAGCTCCAGTCCCAGCCCCACTCTGTCCCCAGCACTGTTGCGGGCCTCCCCTTTCACCCTCATGGAGCACAGAAAAGAGAGTAGCTTCTGAGGACCAGTGGACATGACCCAAAAAGCAAAACAAAAAAGAAAATTAAAACAGAGGTGATATTTGGAAAGGCAACACCTACGACTGATGTGCCAGCCAAAGCAAAGGAACAGAGAACGCTGGCATGGCATTGCTGGCTGTGGTGTGGAAGAAGGAATAAACCGTATCCCTAAAACACAGACAGCAGCACAAATGATAAATTCAGGGGCTGAAGGAATAGCACAGCGGGTAGGGTGTTTGCCTGGAACGTGGCCAACCCGGGTTCGATTCCCAGGATCCCATATGGCCCCCCGAGCACCACCAGGAGTAATTCTTGAGTGCATGAGCCAGGAGTAACACCTGTGCTTTGTCAGGTGTGACCCAGAAAGCAAAAAAAAAAAAAAAAAAAAAAAAGGTGAGTTCAATCAAAAGTAAAAAAATGCATGGGGACGGAGGTTAGGGACTTGTCTCAGAGAGGTTAGTCCCTCACACGTGGGAGGCCTTAGGTTAAACCCCCATTCTGCAATGCCCCCCTTCATGCACCCCTGATGGTTCCCTAGAGTCTGCACCACAGGGAGTAGAGTGGCCCCAGCTGGGCCCTTGCACCACCACCAGATGTGGTCCCTGCAACAATGAAAGAAAATGCATTTGAGAACCACTAGGAGCTCAGAGTGACTGAAGGAAGCAGGCAGGGTGCAGGGAAAATTCTCCGGTCAGCTCCTAGAACAAGGGGGCTGGAATCCAGTACCACATCTACTCCCTGGAGCAGAGAGCCAGCCATGCACTCACACGGGGGGGGGGGGGGGGGGGGGGGGGGGAAGGGGGGGGAGACTAGTTCTAGAAAAAGGAAAAAAAAAGCCACCTAGTTTGGCTTGTCTTGCTTCCCACCTTAGTCTAAGCGACTATGAACCAGCGTTTTCAGTATTACATTCCCAGCATCCTTGGTGCTGGAAACTTCCATACTTGCAGTGAATGTACACAGCAGACACATTTTGCATCCCGTGCCAGATCCAAAGAGTGAGAACCCATGTGATCCAGGCTCATGAACTGGGGGCCTCCGGTTCACCAAGAGTCAGGGACCCGGCTCAGGTGGAGCACAGGCATTGTCTAAGCCAGGTGTTGGGTTTCCGGCCTGGGAAGGTGTAGGCGTGTCCATGGCACCCTGCGGGCGGTAATTCCCTGAGTCCTGAGCCACCAGGAGGGGAGCTGGAGTGAACAGTCCATAGGCTAGCTGGAGGAAGGCCCAGGCGGTTTTAAACCCAGATGATCCTTCTTTTTCAAAAAAAGGGGGAAGGGGCTGGAGACGGTAAAGCGGGTAGTGTGTTTGCCTTGCACACGGCTGACCTGGGTTCAGGCTTCAGCATCCCCTATAGTGCCCTGAGCCCCGCCAGGAGTGATCCCTGAGCACAGCCAGATGTGCACACCCCCGCCAAACAAACAAACAAAAGCAATCCTCGGAACTGTCTGGCTAGACTGAGTGAAAAACTGGCCACTGGCAGTCCCGGAGCGCTCCGGGAGTGAGAGGGTTTCCCTGCCAAGCGCCGACCTAGGTCCAGTGTGTCAAGGCCAAGGGCGGAGCCAGTGTCCCGTGGGGCGGGGGGTGGAAGAAGGGGGAGGGCTGGCGTGGCACAAAGAACTCTTCCAGCTGCAGCTGGACAAACGCTGCGGCCAGGGGTTGCGCACGAGGAGCTGCAAGACCCAAGGTCTCCCCGCGAGAGGGTTGTGGTGGAGCCCAGTGCATCATCTTGCTCCGCCCTTCGTCTCCGAACCTCCGGGGAGCCGAGAACCCAGCGGGCTGGGGGTGGGGGTGGGGGGGGGACGCCTAGAGAGCGGCGCCGGCGGGCTTTGTTCCCGGAGAGGTTCCGGTTCTGCACTCAGCACCCGCCCGCCCCGGGGCCCGGTCCCCTCCCTCCCAAGGCCTCCCCCGAGGCGGTGCAGTGAGACAGACAGCACCCCCAACCCCCCGGCAAGGGTCGTCGGGAGCCAGCCCCACCCGGGTCCTGGGCGCCCCGCGGGAGCCAGTGACGCCGGCGAGTTTCCAACAGGCGCCCCAGGAAACCCAGCCCCGCGGGCCGCATCCCTCCCCTCCCCCTCCCCCGCTCCCCGGCCCCCAGCCGACCTTGCGCGCGGCCCCGCCCAACCCGCGCGCGCCCCCGCGCCGTTGCCCCGGCAACCGCGGGGCGGAGGCAGCGGCCGCCCGGGCGGGACTTCCGGCGGGTGACGCGCCCCGAGCTCGGCTACAAAAGACGACGGCTGCGGCGCGCCGGGCGGAACTTTCCAGAACGCCCGCTGGGGAAAAGAGGCGGAGGGGGAGCCGCGGCTGCCCGAGCTGCGCGCACAGCCAACGCCTCTGAAACCCCCACCTCCACGCTTCCACCTCGCTCGCTCGCCAACACCGGCCTCGGCCCCGCTCTCCGGTGAGTCCAGGAAGCCATCCCCCCCAGAGATGGGTAGAGGCGGGGGCGCCCTGCCTTCCCCTGCCCTGCGCGCGGCTCGGGGTTGGGGGAGGGGGGTGCCGGGAGGCGGTTGGCCGGCCGCGCGTGGGCGGCGGGTGCGTGGCTGTCGGTTGCGGGCTCCCCTCCCTCATTCTGCGTGCGGCCTTTCCCCGCGGGGGGGGTGCTTGTGCGGGAGGGAGGACCCCCCCACGGAGGTGCTGCAACCCCCCCGCCCGCTCGCTCGCCTGCCCCCCCGCGGGGCCCCCTCCTCCCGCGCTTGCTGGGGGCGGCCCGGCGCGCGCGCACACAGACGCACGCGCACACCCGGTGCGCGCGCGCGCTGCGGGTCTGGGCCGGGGGCTGCTGGGGGGAGCTGGGCGGGCTCTGGCTGCGCGCTGGCTGCGGCGCTCGCCTTCTCTGTCTCTCTTTGCAGCCTCTCCTCCCTCCGTCTCTTTGTTGAGGGCTGGGCTGCTCCCACCCGCTCGGATCCCGGGTGGGAGGGAGGGAGGAGGGAGGAAGAGCCTTTAACGGTCGGCGTCAAGTGCAGGGGTGCGGGGTGGAGGGGAGCGCCCCTCCTAACGTACCGAGTGCGGCGGCCCCGGCGGGGCGGGCGGCGGCCGAGCGAGCGAGCGCGCTTTCCGGCGTTGATGCCCCGAGCCCGTTGCACCGGCCACGCCCGCGCCCCCTCCCCTTCCCCCCACCCCTACCGCGCTGGGCCTGGTCTGCCCTGGGAAGCGTGCGCTTGCTATTGCTTGCTTTTTTTTTTTTGAAATCGGATTATACCCAAGGTAAGGATGACTGGCTTGAGCCATGGGTGCGCTGAAAACAGATGGGTACCGGTTGTTTTTTTTTTTTTTTTCCAAAGGGTTTGGTTTTGTTTTGCTCAACGGCTTGTGTAGTCAGCTGCTCAGGGATGGAAAAAGGCTAGACTGGTTCTGCTGCAGCTGAGGGTCCCCTGCAAGGAGGGGGTGGGGGAACAGCCGGCAGCTTGAGGCGCACGCGGCTTTGGACTGATCTCTTTTTTTTTTCTTTTCTTTTCTTTTTTTTTTTTTTTTTGCTGTTCTGGGCTTTCGGACGAATTAGCAAAAAGTGTTCGTTCCTTTTTACCTCTTCTCTGTGAAGTTAAGGAAGGGCAGTGAACCATTAACTAGATTCGCCCTGGAAAAAGGTTTGTAGCCCTCATTGATCTATTTTTTTTTGATTGGTTCGTTCTTGGGCCACACCCAGCAGTGCTCAGATTTTAACTCCTGACTTAGCGATCATTTCTGGCCGGGCTCCAGGGACCGTTTGGGGTGCCCGGGATTAAACCTGGGTTTAAGCACGTGCTAGGCAAGTGCTCTACCAGCCCTCTTACAGCTCCAGCTCCTAACCAATCTGATCTTGTGGGGGAGAAAGGGAGTGTCACAACCAGCGATGCTCACGGATTACTCCTAGCTCTGCACTCAAGAATTAGTCCTGGCAGTGCTCGGGGGACCATATGGGATGCAGAGGACAACCCAGGTCGGCCATGTGCAAGGCAGACACCTTCCGGGTTATATTATTGCTCCAGCCCCACCCAATCTGATCTTAAATTGTTAAAGTTGCCCGTTGAATATAAGTTAAAATATACATGTTCTTATTCCAGGCTGTAGAAAATGGTGAAAGAAACCACTTACTATGATGTTTTGGGGGTCAAACCCAATGCCACCCAGGAAGAATTGAAAAAGGCTTACCGGAAACTGGCCTTGAAGTACCACCCAGATAAGAATCCAAATGAAGGAGAGAAGGCAAGTGGTATACACAGCACTCCTAAACATGATTGAGTTTTTGGCCGAGTGTGCAGTGTTTCCATTAACACCCTAAAATTGAGTCACGTCCAGTATTGTGGCGAGGCTTTGTAATCCTTGTGGGCTTTGAGTTTTGATTCTTAGGGTGGCTGGTGTCAAACCCAGGGCCCCATACACACCGATCATGTGCTATGCAAGCACTTTTTTAAAGTGAAGTTTATTCCGCTTTTCTTACACAGTTTAAACAGATTTCTCAAGCTTATGAAGTGCTCTCTGATGCAAAGAAAAGGGATTTATATGACAAAGGAGGAGAACAGGCAATTAAAGAAGGTGGAGCAGGTGGCGGGTTCGGCTCCCCTATGGACATCTTTGATATGTTTTTTGGAGGAGGAGGAAGGATGCAGAGAGAAAGGAGAGGTAAGAATTCGGCTGCAAATTAAAGTAACCTAGTTACAGCAAATTCTTGAACACCTGTTTTTGAGTGCTTATTTAGATGTTGGTATAGTGTTGAAAATGAACTACCACTTCAGTGGGTTTCTAATTATATACAGTGTGTACATAATTATTTTGGTTCTGGGGACACATCTGTCATTCTCAGGGCTTACTCCTGGCTCTGCACTCAAGAATCACTCCAGGTGGGGCATGGCTGGAGGACCTTAGGTGGTGCTGGGGATCCAACCGCAGTCAACTGCGTGGAAGGCAAGTGCCTTACCCAATATAATTTGTTCTGCCCCAGGTTTCTTTTTTAGTGAGATTTATTGTGACTGAAAATAGCTTAACCAATAAAGTGCTGACGGGTGTTTTCTAAAACACTCATGTATGTTTTGTTGTGTTTTCCATAGCTTATCACCTATTGACTAAAAGGACTAAGTATAGGGACATAATTCTCAAAGCCTTCACAGATTCAGTTTTGTGTCTCATGCTCCTGGGTGTTCATTGCGTTTCAACCAAGAGTGAATGTTCAAAAAGCTAAAAGTATCAAGGTCCTATAGCAAAGATATCCCTTAGAAAGGTTGTAATCTACTTAGTACTAAAACGATTTGGGATGGGATGGTTGCCCCCCTACAGTGCTGAGACACCGTGATGGTGCCCAAAGATCAAACCTGAAGCTCCCACACACGAGACATAATTCCACCAGGTCTTTGAACTACATCCCCTCCCTTATTTTTAAGGAGAGATAGTATAGTGGTAGGGCACTTGCCGAGGCTCAATCCCTGGCACCCAGTGTGACCCCCTAAGTGCAGTCTGGAATAAGCCCTGAGCATAATAGGGTGTTACCCTAAAACAAATTATGATTAAATAGTGTGTTCTGTGTCCAATGACAGGTTGAGAACTGCTTTCACTTAGGCATGAGGCAGTGAAGTTTTGTGATAGAGAAGTTCTTATGGGAGAACCACTAGCTAGAGCTTAACATTAGTGACTGTGGCTTCAGTATATAATCAAACCTTTTCATTTCCCAGTCTTAAAAGATAGGGTATCCCTGTATATCACTCACCACTTTAAATCTGGATTAATTCAAAATCCAAATGAAAATTTCTCTTTCACTGCTAGAGAGTACAATGGTGGGCATTTTCTTGCACATGGCTAGCCTGGGTTCAATCCCCAGCATCCCATCTGGTCCCTCAAGCCTGCAAGGAGTGATTGCTGAGTGCAGGGCTAGGAGCAAGCCCTGAACATCACCACCCCCCCAAAAAAATTCTCTCTGACAGAGCCATGTTAATATGCCTCAGTTAGCCACACCTCACTAGAGGCCACTGGTGAACTGCATAATGTAAAACCAATGAGAAAGTTGTATCTGACAGCACTATGCTGAAGGACAGGATGTGGAAAGCTAGTCTTCAGTGCTGACCCATCTGTAAAAGTCTGTTCTGTTTCAGGAAGAATCTGGGATTTGAGTCAAAACTTTTTGGGAGACAATAAATATCAGCTTCCCTGGCTGATGTTAATTTTTATTAGAACTTAGTGTGCTGAAGACCTGTAGCATGAAGTAATAGTGTACTGAAGAACTTCTGTGTGAAGTGTTGCTCAAGACTAAGGGAAAGAGTCAAATATATTGGGACAGAAATGCAGCTAATTTATTGTGAAATTGGATTTTTTTTTTTTTTTAAACAATAACCTTGTTTTGGTTTTTGGTCCACACGACAGTGTTCAGTGCTTTCTCCTGGCCCTCTGCTTAAGGATTATTCCTACCAACCTCTGTACCATAAGTGGTGCGGGGATCAAACATATGATTGACTGCTTGCAAGGAAAGCAGCCTTTGTGCTGTACTATCTCTCTGACCCAACAGTAACATTTTGAAACTGATAATGCACTTTGGCTTTGGGGGCAAAACAAAAGTTGCTGGGGTTAATTCCCAGTGGTACTTAGGGGACCATTTAATTCTGGGGATTGAATTGGAGCTTCCACATATGCAGCGCTCCAGTCCTTTCAGCCATCTCCCTTCTCCTGATCAGCCATGATTTGTAAGATGCCACATAAGTCTACTTCGATAGGCAAGAATGTAGATCTCCTCGTTTTACTCAGCTAAAATTTAATCAGCTGGAGACTTGTGATAGTACAGTGTCCTGTGCATTTATGGTACGTGCTCAGTGACATGTACACTTTTTACCAGAATAGTGCACTGAACACACTTAAGGTCTAGTGTCTAAGATTTTCCAATGAAAATGTTTCATTTCAGGTAAAAATGTTGTGCATCAACTCTCTGTAACCTTAGAAGATTTATACAATGGTGCAACAAGAAAGCTAGCCCTGCAGAAGAATGTGATCTGTGACAAATGTGAAGGTATTTTTTATGGTCTTAATCAGCTCTAATACAACAAAAGGGAACTAGATGACTTTACTACAAGTGTGAAGGAAACAACTGAACCTGCCACCTACAGAAATAGCCGCTTGCCAGCACGTTCTGTGCATTTGGAGCCAATGTGATTTGATCTTTTTTTCTCAATAGCTCTCAATAAATAATCCAAGATGAGAACCATCGGTATTCTTAAAACTTCACAAACGTTCTAATGGCTTGACTCTATACGATATGATTTATTGTTTTCCTCTTATTGGTGGATAGTTGGCTACTTGTTTAGGGATGAAATTATTGGCTAGGAGCATCAAGAGCTTTTGTGTGCGTGCATGCGTGTGCACGTAGATAACAGTTGGATTTTTAGTGCCAGGCTGCAGGAATAAAAATGTTGAAACAACTGTTTTGGGATATTCTCACAAAACAGATAAACTAATACATTCTTCTTTGGGAAGTGCTTGTTCAGCAAGGGCGGGCACCTTTGGCAGATAGTTCATAAAGGTTATAACAGTTGAGACCGCTGGTGCATTTTGTCAGAATAAAAAGGCTTATAGATTATTTAGGGCCTCATCCTCAGATACTCAAAAAGAGTATTAGTGAGGTGATTGATGTCTTGTTAAAGTTCACTCCGGGGTCTGATGTTACCCTCTTGAATGGTTTAGGCCGCGGTGGTAAGAAAGGAGCAGTAGAGTGCTGTCCCAATTGCCGAGGTACTGGAATGCAAATACGAATTCATCAGATCGGGCCTGGAATGGTCCAGCAAATTCAGTCTGTGTGCATGGAATGCCAGGGCCATGGGGAACGGATCAGTCCTAAGGACAGATGTAAAAGCTGCAATGGAAGAAAGATAGTCCGAGAGAAGAAAATTCTGGAAGTTCACATTGACAAAGGTGAGTTCAGATCACTTTACTCTCAATTCTTGGATGCTATGACAAGTATACTAATAAGTATAATGTTTTAAGAGCTGTACTTTATAAGGTATATGTGAAAGATGTGATTTGGGGGAGTGGGAGGTTTAATTTACCCCGTGCTCAGGGCTTACTCTTAGTGGGGTTTGGAGGACCATAATGTGCCAGGATTAAAGCAGGATTGTGATGGTCACACCTAGGCAAGCACCTTAATATTTGTAAAAAAATCTCTGGCCGCGTGACCAAGAAATGCTTGCCCATAGCCACATAGTAAACTGGGTTTCCATGCAGATTTTGTTTTGCATGTTTTTAGGGAATATGCTATGGACCTCCTCGTTGAAATGTACTGGAGCCTGTTTTTTTAAGGTAGTTTTAAGCTTCTCAGATTAAGCCATTAATTCTCCTTTTCCTGAAGTTAATTTCCTTAGGAATTGGTACATTAGGGATATGTATACATCTAAGGATGGGGGGGGAATATGGGTCTTAAGTGAAAAAAATGGCAGTGTCACTAAATGTTTTTCTGAATGTGCTTTTTTCTTAGTTCACTTGTAAAAACAAGACTGCATGCCCTAATTTTGGTAGGTAGGGACATTATAGGGCTTCATAGGGTAACATGGGAAGTTGGGGGCTGAAATTGGGGCTCCAGCCCTTTCACTCTCTCCCCAACTCTAAGAACTTAGATTAATGGGGGGGGGTGTTTTGTTTTGTTTTTTTTGTTTTTGCTTTTTGGATTATACCAAGCGATGCTCAGGGTTTATTCCTGGCTCTGCACTTAGGAATCACTCCTGGCGGTGCTTGGGGGACTATCTGGGATGCCAGGGATCAAACCCAGGTTGGCCGCGTGCAAGGCAAATGCCCTACTCGGTGTGCTATCGCTCTGGCCCCAGTTTTTGGTTGTTTTAAGACTGTAAACATACTTAGAAGACATACTTAGAAGAAGTTTATCCTCTTTGGTTTCAGTTACTTTTTTTTTTTTAATTAAAACTTGATTTTTTTTTTTTTAATTTTAATTTAGGAGGCTGTGGGGAGGTTGTGGCACACTCCAGCAATGCTTAGAGGCTGTGCCCAGCTCTTCTCGGGGTCACTCCTACAATTGCTGGGGGAGGGGGACCATGTGATGGCAGGGACCAAACTGGGTTCAGCTGCATGCAAGGCAAACTTCTTAACTGCTGTTTTTCTGGCCCAGCTAGTTTCTTTCTTTTCTTTTTTTTTTTTTTTTAATTAGAACATTTTAGAAAATGTTCTAAAGTATATGTAGTTCCATTCTGGGGACGTACCCTGTACAGCCATGATTCCTCTATCAGTTCAGATATAATTGGCTGTGGACGGTCAGGAAATCGTTATGTTTTTAAATTAAGATCTAGATATCGACCAAGAATATGTATTTTTGTTTGGGGCCCACACAGTTTTACAGTGTATGCAAGGCAGCTGCCTTGATTGCTGGATTTTCCTCTATTGGCGCCACAAGTATTTTTCTTTTGTAAAAAAGTTTGGAGGGGGGCTCCACCCAGCAATCTTCAGGGGTTATTTGTGCCTCTGCTCAGGAATCATTCCTGGTGGGGTTAGGGAACCATACGGAATGCCAGGGAGATCAAACCTGGTAAGGCTGCATGCAAGAATTTATTTTTAACATCAAATATAATTGCTGGATCTGTTTCTCATAGTAAAGGTGAAATAGTGGTACTATTGCAGAATATAGTGGTACAGCATGCTGTTCTGTGAACCTGTGAGTGGCGTTAAAGGATGTTGTCTATGTGAAGGTTGTGTTATGGCCAAAATATTGCCTGAAGTGCAAGATCATGCACTTAGACCCAAACCTGGTGCTCTGAATGCACCACAGTAACCATGCATGCCATGCACGGAGGTCCCTGGTGCAGGAATTTTTTATTTTATTTTATTTTTGCTTATTGGGTCACACCTGCCAATGTGCAGGGGGTTACTCCTGGCTTTGCACTCAGGAGTTACTCCTGGCAGTGCTCAGGGGACCATATGGGATGCTGGGAATCGAACCCGGGTCAGCCACGTGCAAGGCAAACGCCCTACCTGCTGTGCTATCTCTCCAGCCCCAGGAAAAATTTTAAGAGCCCCTTTACCCATGGCGAACTAAAATAGGATCTGGGGCAGAGATATGAGGGGATGGAGAAAATTGTAAACTGTTGCCTTGGCCCTATTGGGAAACTGTTTACTTCTGTAAAACAGGCTGTACGTAGAGTCTTTTGTAAAGGATTGTTAAACTACTAATACTTAAATATCTCCAGATTTTAGGGGTCAGAGAAATGAACACAGGTTAAGGCATCTACCCTGCGGGTGATCAACCACAATTATATTCCCAGCATCTGGTTTTGGGGGGATGAGGGTGCTTAGGGAGTGCTCAAGTATGGTCTGGTGCCAGGGACTTCACCCCTGGGGTTGTCTGTGTAAGGCAAGTGCCTTGCCTGCTGTACTCTCTCCTTTACCCCTTCTCTCTTTGTTGGGCACTGGCTGTGGGCTAAGAGATTCTGCCCAGCAGTAAGGAACATTTTAAGGAAATGAAGTTAAATCTTAGAATCAATTTATGCTGCTGTTGGAATTTTGTAGAGTTCTTTTTTATGCAGGTAATAAAATTGGTGGTTGTCACGGTTATAGTGTTTGCAAGGTACTGCATGGGCTTTTTTCCTTCTAGTAGTATTAAAGGAGTAAATCTTAGGAAAGGTAAGATTAAAAGGTTATACAGAGGTAGTACAGGTAGGGTGCTGGGTTGCACATGGCTGACCTGGCTTCAGTCTACAGTACTGTACCATGTGGTCCCTTGAGCTAGCTAGAAGTGAGCCCTGAGTGCAGAGCTAGTAGTATGTCCCAAAAAAGTTATGTGGGAGATAGGGTGATAGTATAGGGGGTAGGGCATGTGCTTACCAGCCTGGGTTCTGTCCCATATGGTCCCCTAACCCCTGTCAGAAGTGATTCCTGAACACAGCTGGGTGAGGACCAAAGGCCCCCTCCTCTACCCTCTCCATCAATCATGTGGGTATTATTTGTTTTGTGATCTTCAGCATCTTCTGCCTTCAGCATCTCAGAAAAAATGTGGACGTTTTAAAACACATATCTATTTCATTTAGGTGCAGGTTGAGTATAAAATTAGCTCTTTGTTTTTAGGCATGAAAGATGGCCAGAAGATAACATTCCACGGTGAAGGAGACCAAGAACCAGGACTGGAGCCAGGAGACATTATCATTGTTTTGGATCAGAAGGACCATGCTGTTTTCACTAGGTAAAAAAGTTTCATCAACCTTTGAAGCTGTTGGTGTGCAGGTTTTCTTCATATAAATGAGCTTCTCATTACACTTAAAACATTTCCTGGAAATGGTCTAGAGCAGTAGATGCAAAACAGGCTGTACGTAGAGTCTTTTGTAAAGGATTGTTAAACTACTAATACTTAAATATCTCCAGATTTTAGGGGTCAGAGAAATGAACACAGGTTAAGGCATCTACCCTGCGGGTGATCAACCACAATTATATTCCCAGCATTACATATGGAGCACTGCTAGGAATGTCACCTGTTTCTGGCAGGCTGGGTTGTTTATGTAAATTAAAATTTTCATAGAACTCGAACTAAAAGAAACTAAAGGAGCATACGAATTTAGGCCTATGGGATACTGTATTTACAGTGAACTTAAAATGAAGCACACAACAGATTGATGGTAACAGTGAGTGCTATATTGTTTCACTTTTGTGTTTGGACCACACTCTACATTGCTCAAGATTTGTTTCTGGCCCTGGGGTCAGGAATCATTCCTGGTGGGGCTCAGATCCCATAAGGGGTCTTGATCAAACCAGATGGGCTTCATGCAAGGCAAGTTTCTCCCTGCTGTACTATGTCTAACATTCTCGGTAGAGAATGTTAAATCTTCAAGGATCTGAGTTTGCATTAGTTAGAACTAAGGGTTATTAGTTAGAACTAAGGGTTTTACAGATAATGGGAAATGCTCTCCTTTCCAGGCAGCCTGGACAATATAGTTGTCCAGGACAATATAGTTGTGTGCACCTGCCATGCTTGTGCACGCTCCCTGATACGGTGCCCAAGATTTATGCAATATGCTCGGCCCATTTTGAGCACTCCCTTCTCTCTTGCCCCCCCCCCCCCCCCCCCAAGTCCTCTCTTTTGGTGTGGAATTCTGAAGAATTTATCTGTGGTGTGTTCTGTGTAATTAAAGATTATTTGGGGTTGGTTTTGTTGACAGCTTCTGGGGATAAAACGCCAAGGACCTTGCTATCCATTGAAAACCTTTGCTCTACCTTTGAGCTATGTCTCCAACATACAGATAATTCTCAGCATGGATTAGGAAAGAGAGAGTCTAAGCATGAAAAGGGAGTGGAGGGGAAGGAAGGAAGGAAACTGCTTACAATCCTAAGAAATTGTGTGGGCTGGAGTGATAGTCCAGAAGATAAGCTTTGCTGTAAGAAAGCAGAGTTACCAGCTGTGGTCAGTCTTCCATTGGGCGTCCCCAGTATTTGAAAGATAAAATTTTGCCATGTTTACATGTTGCAGGCGAGGAGAAGACCTTTTCATGTGTATGGACATACAGTTGGTTGAAGCATTGTGCGGCTTCCAAAAGCCAATATCTACTCTTGACAACCGAACTATAGTAATCACTTCTCATCCAGGTATGGTAACTAACTAGATGCACTGCCTTTTTTCTGTTCTAATATTTTCTCCAGTTGTCTGGTAACCTTTTTTATTAAGTTACATAATCCTCTGTGGGCTGGGCTAAAACTGTATGGTTTTGGCTCCTTTGGAAGCCCCTAGAAAAATCCGTAAGTGGAAAGGTATCACATAAACTACTCATTGATAAGTTAGAAATGACCTTCTCTTTATTTTCCTGCTTGAAAACTGTCAAAGAAAGAACTTGATCTTAATGTTGTAGGTCAGATTGTGAAGCATGGTGATATCAAGTGTGTGTTGAATGAAGGCATGCCAATTTACCGTAGACCATATGAGAAGGGTCGCCTAATCATTGAGTTTAAGGTAAGTTAAAATTATTCAAGGATTTTCTGAATGACTTCATATAGAACTATATAGAAATTCCGTTTTCAACATTTGTGTTCTCTGGGAAGTTACAGATATAAAACATTCTTTATTAAGTTGGTGTTTCGCTTCCTTCTTAGCTACCCAAGATTGGTGGGGAGGTACCTTGCCAGGATGTCCTTGATCACAGAGCTGCTTTTCCTAGGGTGGGGCTTGTTCATTGCACTTGGGGTATGCTGCCCCATGCATGGTTCCCAAATGTGGAAGGTACTATGTAGTGGGACAGCTTTGGTGTTCTCCACCGGCCTTTTTTGGTGGGGGGATATTAAAATAATGATTGAAGAAAGGTGGGGGGTTTGTGGCAGATCAGCGATTGGGTGGTACGTCAAACAATTGAAATAACCCAGAAGACAGTAGAGGTGTTCTTTTCCCTCCGTGCTGCTGATGCTTTTTCTACCTCACCTCTCCCAAGCACCTACAGGCATGACTCAAAAGACAAACACAAATAATTGTGCAATTTTTACAAAATAAGTGGCTTAATAAAAGCTTTGAGCAAATTTTGTTTAAACTGTTGAACAGGATTAGGATGGATTTTCATTAACTGCTGACTAGAATAAAAATTATAAAGACCTGATCATGTTGTATGCATTAAACTGGAGCTCAGATTACTAGATAGTTTAGATTTTACTGTGCTCAAACTCAGGAACGCAAGCTATGCAGGGCAAATGTGCTACCACTGAGCTACATCACCAACTCACTTTCTAGAAAACTTTTAAACCTGGCATTGGTAGGTCGGTAGTATTGTATGTTATTTGGGAGGTGAGTGAGTTGATGGTAATTTGTCTAAAGACCTAATGAGAGAAATAATTGAACTTACAATAGAAATTTATTTTCATAGGTAAACTTTCCTGAGAATGGCTTTCTCTCTCCTGATAAACTCTCCTTGCTGGAAAAACTCCTTCCTGAGAGGAAGGAAGTAGAAGAGACTGATGAAATGGACCAGGTAGAATTGGTGGACTTTGATCCAAATCAGGAAAGACGGCGCCATTACAATGGAGAAGCTTACGAAGATGATGAGCACCATCCTAGGGGTGGTGTTCAGTGTCAGACCTCTTAATGGGGACAGTGAGTTACACACTTCTGGCATTTCATGTGCAGTAGTGAATGAGTGAAGGACTATTCAGTAATATACTCACTACTTGCAATTGTTTTGTTTTAATATTCAACTATAGTAGTGTTTTAAAAGTTAAATGAAGAATAAACTGAAATATGAAAGCTCCGACTTTGCCCTGTATGTATGATGACTTCAGTGTGCAAGATGAAGTTTAATACTTGTAAAAATTACTTTAAAGGAAAATTGCCCCTAACATGTTCGACCATACCTTGTAATTGATTGCAGCTGTGTACATGGAATCGCTTGGATTGAAAACCGGGGTATATGTATTGACTTCACTGTATGACCCTTACATGTTTACGCTATGAAACTTAAAATTCTGTATTTAACTGGCAATCAGACAAAGATCTTAATTTGTAGAGAAGTGTTGGCTTGTATAGTTACTTGTGTTAAGTGGGATTCTTGTTATGCCTCTGCATTCATTCTCTACGTCAGCTGTTACTTGATGGCATGATACATAATTGAGCCTGTGGTATCAGTGTCAGAACAGATAGCTTTCTGAAGAAGGGTTTTATCATCTATGCTGCTTCTTAAGGGCTTGCACTTGTAGAATTGAATTCCCTTGTGCTGTGCCATTCCCCCCCCCCCTTTAATATATATATATATATAAAATGCTGACCTGGTTACACACATTCTTCCCTCTAGACCATGATAAGCCTCATTAGTGACTTCTGGTGCAGGATTTACTTAAAAGTGACAAGACCTTTAACATGGAGAAGTATTTGCATGTATGAGATAGGAAAGTATTTTTAAGATATGTTACAGGCTTACTATAAACCATTTAACTGTGCTCCAAAGTAACTGTATGTTGATAGTATAGCAAATTATGATGAGTAGCTTTAATTGTATGTTTAAGTCATGTTCACAAGCTTAAATCTGGAAATCAGAATTTAAGCAATTCTTGAAATGTATGAATGTGTCCTTAATATACTGATTACAAAGTACTTCCGATGTGTGTCACTACAGGCTTTTTTCCCCTCAGATTAAAACATTGATTTTTACTATCATAGGGAACTTTTTCACTTATTTAAATGAGTAAAAATACCAAAATTAGGACTCAACTATGGTTAAATGTTAAATGTAAGGGACAGTGAGTAAAAATGTGAGCAAAATGTCTGAATTTAGCAAACACTGGAATATAATCTTTTTCACCTATTCAGCTTTCTCTAGGTTATATTCCTATAACTAGGAAATTTCCAGTCTGGAAATGAGCCACATATTGAGTCGCTCAAATTCCAATATTTGAGTTGCAAAGGGAAAACTATGGGCAATAGAGATTGTACTATCAAGGAAGGCGCTCGCCTTGCACACGACCAGTGGATCCGGGTTTGATTCCTGGCTTGTCATAACGTCCCCTTGAGCACAAGTCAGGGATGTGCTCAAAAAAAAGGGGGGGAAATTGAACCTTAGTGTAAATCAAGTGACAGAATCCACAGTGGTCCAAATTATAACAAAGACCAAGGTCACTTTCTTGTGGAGAGGATGGGGGAAGGGTGGGGTCAGCCAGGGATCACTGGCCAGAGTCAGGGGACCTTAGTGGTGGCCCTGGATCGAACCTGTGTCAGCTGAGGCAAATGCCCTACCCACTGTAGTATCTATGGCCCTGTTACGGGAATCTCAACAGGCTTAGGCTTCATAGAGTGGTTCTGAGAAGACAGGGCTCTGTGAAAGGAAGGGCAATGCTAAATACTCAAGTTGAATAAACTGGTACAATAGTAGCTGGCACCAAAAACAAAAGGGGCTATGAAAGAATAGTGGATGGTCGCCATCATTTGTTAAATAGATCAGAACTAGGACAAAGGTTCTTGCCCAGGAGTTAACTTCCCACCCCACTTCCCCATCCCAAAACCCTCTAGTTGGTTATATTTGTCTGGCACAGAATTTGCAGCTATGCCAGAGACTGTTTGGAAAGGCTCCCCCATCTCGTCCCCCTCGCCAATGTAGACGGCTTTTAGAGATAGCTCCCCTTGCACCTCTTAGGGCAGCCCCTCCTAACTCAGGACACCTCCACTAGGTTCCCCTCCTTTGATGAAAACAGAAAAAGTTGAGGGGGTTGTGAAGCCATAGTACAGTTATTAGGGCACTTGCCTTGCACACATTTGACCTGGATTTGATCCCCGGCTCTCTCTGCCACATACGTCCCTTGAGGCCTGCCAGGAGTAATCCCTGAGCACCCTGCAAAGAGTATGTTCCCCCTGTAACTCTACCTTTTAATTTGCTTTTCTTCCCAGTTTCAAACATTGTTGAGGCACTAATCGCAGGAATAGAATGAGGATTTTGATGAATTCCTACAATGAATGTAACATTCTGACCAGATCTTGCTCTTTAAGAGCCTCCCAAACATTCCCAAGGCCAGGTCCTTTCTCATTTACCTGCCCAAGTCCCTGCCCACCCCCCACACTCAGCTGTCCAGTGTGTAAGGGCTCCTTTTCATTAGAGCCTCTTTTTCCCGTTGTATCTGTATATCCCAGACGAAACTGTCTATTGTTTCTCCTCATTTTACTTAACATGATACCCTCTAGTTCTACCCATATTGTAACAAATTGCAAGATTTCATCTTATAGCTGAATAGTATTCCATTTGTGTAAATACAATTTCACTCACCTGTTGTAGGGGACTTGGGTTGTTTCCAGATCTTGCCTATTATAAATAGCATTAAAATGAACATAGATGTGAATATATTTCTTAATTATTGGCTTTGTGTTCTAGGAATAGCTATCAAGGACTTGAAATACTTTATTACATGGTAGTTCAGCAGTGGGACACACTCGAGGGCTCTTTTTCCTGGTTCTGTGATCAGGACTTGCTCCTGGCAGTGCTAAGATCAAAATCAATGGTCCTGCACACACACAAAGCATGTCCCCAGCCCATTGAGATATCAACCTTGCCCTCTAATTTTCAATTTTTTTCTCTGGAGGATTACACTCAATGGTGCTCAGGGTACCATAAGCAGTGTAAGGGACTCTTGACTGCATGGAAGTCAAGAATCCCCTACTTTGCAATATTTTAAAAAGTCTCCACAGTATTTTCCATAAAGGCTGAACATGATTATAGTCTCACCAACAGTGAACACACCAGCAACACTGGGTTTTTTTTTAATGTAGTCAACAGCACATTCTCATTTCCCAAACAGTTTGTTTCATACAAAAGGAGAGATGCCAAAACTAAACATCTCATAATGGGTCCTGTAACTAGTTCTACTCAGAAGATGGAGTGGCTATTTCCCCACGTGGACCAGAACATGTAAGAAGGCAGAGCTCAGATGATTGCATGTGAATGGGGGAGGGTACAGAAATGAGATCTGATGCCAACACCTGACTGTTGCATTCATTTACTTACTGGATGCCAGAATCAAACCCAGGGACCCATACATACAAAGGCTACCAGCACTGAGCTACATTCCTGGGCCCCACCAAACCTTTATATATAAACCTTTATATTCTACCCCAGGAATTGACATCCTGCTGAATTTAAGATTCAGGACAATATAGTTGTGTCACACTCCTCTACCGACTCTGTAAGTAAATATGTAACTAGGACACTTATTTACAATGGAAAGCAGAGCCTCCAGAAAGGTGTCAAGTTTATTAACATCTTTTAAAAAATGGAAGAGAAAACCGCTACTGAGTATGGTGATTTTTCCTATTTACAAGTTTCACTGAAGGAGGCGTATTTCAAATAATCACAGGAATATAACTTTTATCCCACTAGATTGATGAGGATTTCACTCTCTGGGTAGAGTATTAATTGAAAACATCAAGTGACTGCCCCAATTAAGAATCATAAATGAATAGCGTAAAAATTTTTTTTTGATTTTTGAGTCACAGCCAGCAATGCTCAGGAATTCCTCCTAGCTCTGCACTCAGGAATTACTCCTGGCAGTGCTCAGGGAACCATCTGGGATGCTGGGAATCGAACCCGGGTCGGTCACGTGCAAGGCAAACACCCTACCCACTGTGCTATCGCTCCAGCCCCAAGAAACAGCCACTTGAAAAATGAAAGTGAAATCAGGGTTTCCAGAGCTTGAGGAGCCCATCTTCGCTGTAGGTGGCGATCAGGTTCTGATGTGGGTGATGAGCAATGCCAATCACATCCTTCTCATGGACCTGGAATAAGCAAAGCAGGGTTAGGGCCTTAGGGCACTCATAAATTCCCCTGTGCAGGCTTTCAGAGCTCAATGGAGAGAAGAGGGAACTCATCTTTGAGGATTCCTCAAAAGAGGGCCGAACACACACACAACCAAAAACTCCAATGAGGTTATCATCCCACCAGTTTCACAATGTGGGTGCTGATTTTCATACTGTGTGCCAAATCACTTATTGGGGGGGGGGGGGGGCACACCTGGCAATACTCAGGGCTTACAGGGATCACTTCTGGCTGGGCTCCGGGATCACAAGCAATGCAGGGGAGTGAATTCAGATAACAGCTGCATGCAAGGCAAGTGCCTTACCCACTGTGCTGTCTCAGCTCACAAGTTACTTTCGCACCTGATCCTATTCACCATCTTGCAAGACACAGGCTAGGCTAAGCCCGAATGATTTCTTCAACTCCCTGAACTTGTATTTTCCAGGCTCCTCAGCTACATGACACATTCAACCTCATCCCATTTTGCTTATGTCTCAGATTTGTATGTGGAAGGGACACAGAACAAATGAATCAAAAGTTCACCCAATAATAATTCAAAATAAATTCTTCAGGGCTCAGAGCAGAGCAGAAAGGGGTTACTATCCTAGCCTTGCATTCAGTTGGTACTAGTTCAATCCCCCAAGCACTAGGAATGAAGCCTGAGCAGAGCCAGAAATAGTCCCTGAGTGCAACTAGGTATAATCCAAAGGATGCAACAAAAACCTAGAAGATGAAAAAAATTTCTCTCTGGCCAGAGAAATCGATCGTTTAATGGGTTGAGTATATGCTTTACAAGTGTAGGAGACCTGGATTAGTTGTCCAGCACCTGAGCACAGAGCTAGGAGCAGCCCATGATCACAGTCCGGTCTTGCCCAAACATCAAAAACACAAAAATAACAAAATTCCTCTCTTTTCACAGACATAACTCAAAGGGCTAGTGAATATGCTTTGCATGGGAGCGCCCTGGATTTGAGGCCCTGCATTGCACGGTCCCAAAGCACTACCAGGAGTGTCCCCAAAATAAAATAAGTATTATTGTCTAATAGGTATATCTAGGACGTTTAAATTTTTTAAAATTTCATTTTAGACACTGTGATCGGCAGGGTGTGCTTCCCTCTACCACTGTCCCAGCTTCTCCAGCTCAAGGTACCCCCTACCCACTCTTCCCACCACACCCACACCCCCAGGGTAGGTTTCCTACTGTAGACCTTTTCTTATCCTCACTGTTCCATTTCACCTTGACAAAACAACTGCACTCCTTTCCCCTTTGCATCTGGGCTGTGGCCCTGTGACTGGACCCCAGGCAAAGAATAATGAGGAACTAAGTGACACATACTGCTGGACAGGCTCCCTTTCTTCCAGTCAGACTCACCGTCAGCGTTCTCTCCAGTTTGCCAGTGACTGTGCTGAAACAGTAGAGCACGAAGTCCTCCCCCACGCAGTAGATCCACTCGCCACGAGGAGAGAGCGCGCAGCAGACAAAGTCACCGCCCTCTCTCTTACCAGAGCTGAAGCTTCTGACAATCTGGATCACACCACCGCCCAAGGCAGAAAAAAAAAAAAGCATTTGGCTTAGCAACAGTCCGACAATTTATTGTTATGGTACAAACCCTTTGACTTACTGTTAACAGCTCTGTTAATAATGTGCAACATCATAGGCTGACCGAAATTGAGAATCTACCCATCCAAATCATGATTCCCACCCTTTAGTCATAGAATGAGATGTTTCGCCCCACGAAGAATGAATCTCAGTCTCCACCTGTGCGTCACCTCTGGGGCCACCACGGCCCCAGCGTGCCACCACTGGAGAGCACCAGTCAGCAAGCACATGTGATCTGGCGAGCACGGCACTAAAGCGCCCCCCCACCCCCACCCCCACCCCACCAAGTGTCTGTGGCTACTAGAGCAAAGGGAAGAGGAAAACAGAATTTTTTCCAGCAAGGTCCTGAAGGAGGCATCAAGGCAAGTTAGGAGCCTGGTTTAACACGCCAATGCAGGCGCAGACCACGAACGGCTCACGCACAAACACGGTTTTGATGAACACAACTACAGCACCACTTGTCAGCGTATTACCCCGAGGAGTTGAAGGAAAGGCAGGACACACAACCACTGCAGGTGGCTGGAGGGAGAGAGTTCTGCTGAGGCCAAGAAGGCAGCCCGAGGACCCTCACAGCAACACGCACTCACCTGGCCCTGCATGTTCATGATGACCACTGTGTTGGACCTGTTGCACACCACGAAGTGCTCGGGGTTTTTAGGGAGCAGGATCACACTGTTCACAGTGATGTCTGTCCCCGCAGTGCTGCCCAGGGACTTAAAGGTATTGGAACATTCTGTGGTCTTCATATTCCAGATCTATGACATAAACAGGTATAGGATAAATATTTTGGGAGGGGGAGGGAGGTTAAAAACAAACACAACAGGGGGCTGGAGCAATAGCACAGCAGGTGGGGCATTTGCCTTGCACGCAGCAGACCCGGTTTCGATTCCCAGGATCCCATATGGTCCCCTGAGCATTGCCAGGGATAATTCCTGAGTGCAGAGCCAGGAGTAACCCCTGCGCATCACCAGGTCTGACCCAAAAAGCAAAAAAAAAAAAAAAACCACAACAGATTACTGAAAATATAGCTGATGCAGGAAAGAGCTATTACCAGATATTCAGTCTGATCAATTCTCTAAGACAGCTCTAATAGTGGCTGGAGCGATAGCACAGCGGGTAGGGCATTTGCCTTGCACGCAGCTGACCCGAGTTCGATCCCCGAGATCCCATATGGTCCCCCAAGCACTGCCAGGAGTAATTCCTGAGTGCAGAGCCAGGAGAAACCCCTGATCATCACTGGGTGTGGAAACCCCCCCCAAAAAAAGACAGCTCTAATATATAGTACACATTTGTATGCTGAGGAATTGGTGTGAGCAAAAAGTGACAAAGCTCCATGTCAGCCATTCTAAGCTGACACTCCTAACATCAGAAACGGGGCGGCAGTCAGGGTGCTACCCAGCATGCACCAGGTCCAGGTGGAGCACCAAGCATGGATTGGTGCAGTACCACACCCTGAGGTCCTTGCATTTAACTGTCCTCACAAAATTTGGGGGGTGCGGGGGGTGGAGAAGGTTAAATCAAACATTAAAATGACTGAAATCGGGCTGAAGCGATAGCAGAGTGGGTAGGGTGTTTGCCTTGCTTGCGGCTGGCCCGGGTTCAATTCCTAACATCCCATATGGTCCTCCGAGCACTGCCAGGAGTTAATTCCTGAGTGCATGAGCCAGGAGTAACCCCTGTGCATTGCCAGGTGTGACCCAAAAAGCAAGTTAAATACAATGACTGAAATCTAACATGCTTAAAGAAGGGTCAGACCAAATTTTGCGTGGCATTTTCTGGACCCCACTTTCTTAATAAGGCTCAGAGGCATTCGTCTGTTTTATTGTTTCCTGTCTTCCACTGAACTTTAACATAAAACTGGTGCCAAGGAAATACCTATTAGAAGAACAGTTGTCCCAACATTTACTTTTCATTATTATGAAAGCAGTGCTACTGTATCACAATTGCCTGGAGAGTCCAGTAACCCAAGAGTTCTCACAGTTAAGAATGACGGGACATCTCTTCTGCTACACCTGAAATGGGCATTTCAGGAGTAAGAATTTTAATGCTTCCAGTATTTTCTGCCCAAAATGTCAGTAAGATGCCTTTATCCCACTTTTGGGGGAGGAGGGACCAGGAAACAGAGCAAGCCCATGTCACCACCTCTCCAGAGGTCCAATCCTGTGTCTTGAGCCTCCCCACCCATCCTGAGGAAGAGTTTCTTCTACAGGGTTCTGGTTCAATTTCCAAACTAGAACAAGAACAAGAAAGCTCAGGGGCCTATTTCTCTGTGCTAAAATGTTTAGGTCTTCTCCCACAAAGCATTGGCTTTCATCTGGCAATTTAAAAACAGGTTCAGAAAATAAATGGAGTGTGTCAGATCTGCGGCAATTTTCTGTTTGGATTTCTCTGTCTTTTCTAGGAAATGAGGCCCTTGCTGGAAATAACTGCATTTTTCAGGGTAGTGAAGACCCATTAGTTTCCCACTGAGAGCTGAGGGCAGTAAATGAGCATCTAAGAAAAAGGCAGTTCCACCACTGCTCCTTTCAAGCAGTCATTAGGAAGGCTCCCGATGTGGGAACCAGAGGTGGGTGAGGCTGAGACTGGCGCACAGTCCACAGCAAAGGAGACTGTGCCTAGGGTAAAACAGGTTACCTCTACAGATAAGAATGACGGGACATCTCTTCTGCTACACCTGACAGCACGAATGCAGGTTTGAGGTCCCTCGGCCAATAGGAATTACCCACATTGTACCAGACTCAGTCACGTCTACAATAGCTGGCAGAGAACTTTACTCTACCCATCACAGTATCACCACTGAAACTCCTCAGAGGGCAATGACAGAAGAGACACTGCACCATAAACCAGCAGCAAATACTTAACCTTCACTGTGCCATCAGAGGACGCGCTGATAATATAGTGTCCATCTTGTGTAAATGTTGCTTCATTCACAAAGGAGGAATGGCCACGGAATTCCTTCAAGGTTTTCCCAGACTTTAAACCATGAATTCTGTCAAGAATAAAGGAGATTGTAAAAAATTAATTTTTTAAGTGTTATCATTGTGAAAAATGATACACTAGATGAACTAGATGAATTCTAGGACTTCACACTATAAAACTAAGTGAATAAAGAGGGCTGTGAAATTATGTATGCGGTATCATTTTCATTATGTTGAACAAAACCAAACAAAGGTTTTGCACAGAAAAAGATGACTGGGGTGAGAACGATAGTACAGTGAGTAGGGCCCTTGGCTAATCTGGTTTCAATCCCCAGCACAGCAGATAAGGCACCTGCCTTGGAGGCAGTTGTGCTGAGTTCAATCCCCTGCACTGTGTATGATCCTGACCCCAGCCAGGAGTCACCCCTAAGTACAAAGCCAGGAGTAAGCCCTGGGCACTGCCAGGTGTGACCCAAAATCATAACCAAAAAAAGACAGGATGAAAAATAACACATCGCTAATGCCACAAGCTTCTACATACAATTTGTGTGTATAAAATGCCCTCTGAAATGACTGGAGGCAGGCGTGTGCACCCGGGTAATCTCTAGAGGTAATCTCTCTAGGGGTCTTGTTGTACAAAAGAACAGCATCGCTAACATTCATTTTATTGTAACCAGGCTGCCTAAATCACAACGAAAATAAAAAGTAAAATAAGTGAAAAAGAACAACACCTCCATCAGCACTACTTTGGGGGTAATGGGGTCACACATAGCTTCACACTCCATGTCAGAATGTCCTGATGAAAGGATAGGGAGTCACAAGGGAGTTGCATTATAGCAGACCGAAGCCAGGGCAGTGCAGGGTTACTACTCACCTAATTGTCTGGTCAAAAGAGGCACTAAGAATCTGACTGCTGTCCTTAGAAAAACTCAGGCAAGTGACACCTTTACTGTGTGCCCTTTCAAATCTCCGTAAACACTGCCCACTCTGAATCTTCCATACCTGTATTTAAAAACAAAAACAAACAAACAAAAGCCAGTCAAAACTTGTACCTGAGAATGTCCCATTAAAGTCAGCAGGGTCATGCAGTGCTGATTAGTGCATTAACACATTAAAAATGCATGCCAAGAGCCGAATATGATATGTCTGGTTCACATAGTACCATGAACTGAATCCCCTGAATCTTAAACCTCTTCCCTTGTAAATTATTAAAGCAAAATTTCAGACTCTACAAATCGTTCTAGTATTTTATCTAGCAATTAAATTCAAGCCACAGCTAATGATTTGTGGACCACCACGATAATAAAACAATAAAGCACAACACATCATTCAAAAGGAGCCAGGGTAGCATGGGAGGAAGGATATGGAAAGATCTAAACTGAATTCCCAGGCCACTTGTCAAGTATGTGGTCTTGAACAAATTTTTAGTGCCCACCCCTACCTCGACCCTTCCCAGCCCAGGTAGTGTTATTACTAGGATCAATCAAACAACAGCTCGTGCTACTAATCCAATACCTTGATTTTCCCATCTTGGGCACCCGTTGCCAACATTTCTGTGTCTCTGCTGAAACACATGCAGAGGACTGCATCATCCATCATCATAAAGTTATCCTGGGCCTGGTACTTAAGATCCTAAAGAAAACAATGGTACGCAGAAATATTATATAGAAGTCTAGGTCCCAATCGCCCCAGGTCTCTACAACCTCACGAAAATCAGACAATAAATGGATTTACTCTGAATCTCTAAAATAAATTGTAGTACTAGGCATATATGTACATAGATATTTTTTATACAATGCAAAACCCAATACTGTAAAAATGCCAACATTATACTCTTGTTTTATTGCTTACCTTTTCTAGGTAAAACTCCTTCCATAGATTCATATTTACTTTTATTTCTGGGTCATGGGGTCATACCCAGTGGTACTAAAGAGCTCAGGGGACCATATGAGGTGCTGGGGGTCAAACCTGGGTCCAGGGGCTGGAGCAATAGCACAGCAGCATTTGTCTTCCATGTGACCGACCCAGGTTTGATTCCCAGCATCCCATATGGTCCTCTGAGCACCGCCACGGGTAATTCTTGAGTGCAGAGCCAGGAGTAAACCCTGTGCATTGCCGGGTGTGATCCCCCCTCCAAAAAACAACCCTGGGTTCAATGTGAATAAGGCAAGTGCCTTACCTATTGCACTATCTCTCAACCCTCTGAACCCCCTTCCCCCATCACCTTTATATCTAAATGTATTTACAAGTATAATGTGCAAAAGTTGAATGATTTCCCAAATTAGCATCTACTTTTTCTAAAACAATTTACTGGTTAACACATGTGTAATGTTTCTTTCATAATTCACTGCTCAAAAAAAGTATTTTCCTAATTATAAAATGAGATTTAATATATAGAGTATTTTTTAAATCTTTATATATTTAAAGTTGAAAGTAAAAATAACACAAATCCACTACCAATGGAGTGGAACCTAGTATTCCATGACTGGAGTATTTTAAATCAATGGGTAGACAATAAGCAGCTTGTTTGGGCACGGAATTCACTAAGCACTGTAGCACTGTCCTCCCGTTGTTCATCGATTTGCTTGTGTGGGCCCAGTAACATCTCCATCATGAGACTTGTTGTTACTGTATTTGGCATATCGAATAAGTCACGGGTAGCTTGCCAGGCTCTGCCGTGCGGGCGAGATACTCTCGGTAGCTTGCCAGGCTCTCCGAGAGGGGCAAAGGAATCAAACCCAGCTCGGCTGGGCCAGCTACGTGCAAGGTAAACAAATACCCTACTGCTGTGCTATCGCTCCAGCCCTGAAAACAATCCAAAAGAAAAGTGGGCAAAGGATATGCACAGACGTCAAAGAACAGGAAATACCGGAAGCTTTTCACATATGAAAAGATTTTCAACTTCATTCAAAAGAGAAACACATGCAATAGCACAAGTACAAGACAAGAATAATTTCACATACACAGAATAATTGTACAGTAACAGGCAATAATTAACAATGAGAGAACTTCTCCCAAAATAGAAAAGTTACTAAATTAAAAGATACTTTACCTTCCTGATTTTTCCCGTTGTAAAGTTCCATACTTCAATGAATCCATCGACAGACCCAGTGACCAGATACTGACCATCTGGAGAAAACCGAGCACACTCCACATGTGATTTCTGACCGAACTGTTTCAAACAAAGCAACGGAACAGATGTACTTTCACGGAGAGCTCTTCCAACAAGTTCCCTGTGACCACCCACCCCAGCAGAGTGTGAGGTGGCCTGTGTCCCCAATACTGGAGGGATGCAGCTGTTCCTGGGCACAGCAGGGGTGGGACCCGTAGTTCTCTGGCCAGTTTTATGCCCAAGGCTCTCAGCTGAAACTACTTTTTCCAAAGTAAAACAAAATACATATTTGTGACTTAATGGCTCTTACAACAAATAATCCTGCTAAATGTAAGTTTTTACTGGATCCAGCCGATGGGCATAATTTCACACTCAGTGATAATATGGCCTAAGAAGTTCCAGCTGTGCATATGGGAAAAATATTCTCCCCCTCTTCCCCCGCCATCAAAAGTCTATTTTTATTTACTAAAATATCTTTTTATCAATTTAAACCAACAAGTCAGTGACTAATTCAAGAAGTAATTAAAGCTATAGACAATTGCTTTATTATTATTAATATTATTTTTTGCTTTGGTACCCAATATGCCAAATACCGGTAACAATGATGGATCTCATTCTCCTAAAGAGCCTTGAATATAATAGCACTTTCTTAAAAATCTCAGGGCTAGGATTGTCCCGGCCCCACCGGAGAATCCCTGTGATTCCCAAGAGCATCCCTGAATGCTATTAGAACTGAAGAGTAGGTCCTGTGCCCCAACCTACAGCCTTAGCACAGGGCCTGGCCGAACAAGCTCATGCTCAATCCTCATACATGACTGCTGCCGGCCAGCGTCTCAGGATCCTACCTTAATATGCCTGCTCAGCTGCGTAGGAAACTTCTCTTCTTCCACATCTTTGACAGCTGCTTTGCCTCGGAACAAATCAATGGTCATGCCGGGAGGGAGTAAGCCCTGATGCTGCTGCCACTTCAGGGCCTGTGAGGAAAGACATGCTACTTGGGAACTTGGAAGAGCTGGTCTTCACTGCTCAGTCCAGCCTGAAGGAAGAGGGTCCTAAGCACGCAGCCCCACCCAAGTACAGCCTCACCTGTTCCGGTGTGACCTGGAGGGACAGGCTCACCTCCAGCATGGAAGGGGACTCAGGGACCAGCAGGCAGATCTTTCCCACACCTGTTTCCTTAGTAGTGTGCCTCATTACTAACAAAACTATTTGGAAAATAAATTTGCCCTAGTTTCAACATCCAATTTGGAAAATAAATCTCCCCTAGTTTCAACATCCAACCAGTTGCTGTTAACCATGTGTTCGTTATTTTCTAGTACTTGACCTTTACGCATCAGCTATGACTGGACTGTATTTTAAATTTTATGTCATCTTTACCTATCATGAGGTGATTTTATAAGATAAATATAAATTCTATTGCGATAAAATAGTGAATTGGATGTGGCCCAAACACAAAAAATAAATACGGTGGGAGAGAAGAGATGAACAAACACTTTCTCTCAAGGAAGACAGAGAGCTAACCGACAGGCATATGGAAACATACTGTTCATCACTGATTATCAGGGAAATCAAAATAGTCAGCAATAGTAAGACAACACCTCACTCCGCTAGGAGATTCTGTGTCAAAATGTCCAGAAACAGTGCTAAAGGCAGGGTATAGCCCTGCAAGTGGTCGGATGACCGGGATTCGATCCTCAATACCCCATTTGGTTCCCCAAATCCCACCAGGAGTCCTGAACTCTGAGAAAGTCCTGCGCACTGCCAGGTGTGGCCCCAAAACAAATAAAAGCAAAAACAAACAAGAAAAACCCAAATCAAAAGTCCAGAAATATTGAAGAGCTGGCAGAGCTACGGTAAAAATGGAATGAATATTCACTGTAGTGGGACTACTTGTCGGTTCAGTCTCTTTGAAAAATGGTTTGAAGATTTCTCAAAGTAAATAAACTCAAGAACAGAGCTTTCATATGACCCAGAGTTTCCACTCTTTGGAGCAGGGGAATCTTATTTCCTTAAAAATTAGATATTTTTATATTTGTTGCTAAAAATAGAAACCTGTTAGTTTTGGATCACCTGGTGTTATGAAGGCTTACTCCTGACCCTGTGCTCAGGGATTCCTCCTAGAATAGAACCCAGGACCTTGCCCGTGTGAGCTAGGTAACCTCTTAACACAGAGCCACAATCCCAGTCCTGAGAGTTATTGTAATCTTTTTTTTTTACCCTTATCTCAATAAAACTTTATTTATGAAAACCGAAATCTGAGTTATCAGAGTCTTAACTACAAATCTCCACTGCTTCTGGAGAAAGAGGACGGGGGCATGGCTTAGCTACTGCTCCAAGCAGCTCAGTAGATAGCACACAACTGTGACGACACCCTTTAGCACACACAGTTCCTATGGGGGAAACAGCACCTAGGGTTCAACGTCACAGTGGTTCCTCAGGAATTTCATTACCTGTCCCAGCAACGCCATGAGACGAGAAGGAGGCACCACACTGACTTCCCCAGCTAAGGCCTGGGCAATTGCTGCTCGTCTCTTCTCTTTGCTACTTCCGTCTGGGTACGCCTGGAAGGGGAGAGGGGGAGCACTGTTTCCACAAAGCGGCTGGGAGGTATGTTTGCAAACTGAAAATATCCATCATAAACATTCAAAAGGAAAACATGGAAAGAAATCAGTTACACAGGGGGTTCATTAAATCAACTCTTTTTTTTTAAAATGACTTCCAATTCTATCCCGGCTTGCACTTCCTAAGCAAGAGCTGGAACAGATTTGCAGTTGATCAATCCAGGCACTGCTGTAACAATGTGTTTCTCAACCATTCTCTAATCATGGCCCCTTTCTGACTGTTTTCTCACTGCGGCTCCCGTCCTACTGGTTGGCTCCAGCCTAATACCAGCACCCCCACTTCCTCCATTTTCACCTGTGGACCCTTTGGACCATCCTGGTGGTCCACAGAGGGATCATATGTCCCAAATGCCACTGTAAGAGCCACATCCAAGTCAGAGCTGTCTTCCCGGGGTCTTAGAAACGGCAGAGCCGAGGATTCCTTACATCCCATGTTATCTGCTCAGGACAGAAGTTCTTCTCCATCTCTAACTTAAACCTGTCCTGGTGATCTAAGCTCCTTTCCTCATCCAAGCTCCTTTCCTGGCATCTGTGAATGATTCTCCACTACCCAGTCCTGCTAAATTCCTCACCACCTATTTCGATAAAACTCTAATAAAAGGCTGGATGACAAAAGAATAAAACTACACATATGACAACATTTGGGGTGTTTTATTTGGAGGCCAACGCTAGTGTCTAGGGGGTGCTGCCCACCCTAGGCTGCCCACTGTGCTTAGGGGACCAGACACTGGTACATTAAGTATGCACCCAGCCCACTGAACCATCTCTTAGCCCCCAGAGAATAACACTCAGGGAAAATGGAGAGATCAGTGTCGCTTTAACAGCATGCACACTGACTGAAAAGCAAAAGCATATGATTCCAAGACCCCAGGGAGCTGGGAGGATACAGCCACTGCCCGGAGCACACCCCTGCACAGGCTGCACTCTGGGGCCGACTGTCTGGCCTGAGAGAAAAATAATGCCAGGATATATTTTCTGCTTCTTTAAAGATAAACAATCTCCTAAAACTCAGGAAATCGAACAATATTGTTCTAACAGGGGTAAACAAACATCAATGAACATAAACAACAAAATAAAAAGAATCGTATCATTCTCAAAAAATAAATCATAATCATCAAAAAGTAGTGGCTGGAGCGATAGCATCGCAGTAGGGCATTTGCCTTGCAAGTGGCCGGCCCGGCAGAGCCGGTTTCGATTCCTCCGCCCCTCTCAGAGAGCCCGGCAAGCTACCGAGAGTATCTCGTCCGCACGGCAAAGCCTGGCTAGCTACCTGTGATGTATTCGATATGCCAAACACAGTAACAACAAGTCTCACGATGGAGACATTACTGGGCCCACACAAACTGAGCAAATCGATGAACAACAGGAGGACAGTGCTACCGCGCTACATAAAAAACTATACGATAAGACTACTTGAAAAGATTATACTATTTCTTCTATTCTCTTTCTTTCTTTTTTTTTTTTTTTTTTGCCTTTTCCGGTCATACCAGCAATGCTCTCTCTGGGCTTTGCATTCAGAAATTACTGCCGACAGTGCCCAGGGGACCATACGGGATGCCGGGGATCGAACCCGGGCCGGCCACATGCAAAGAAAGCATCCTACCCGCTGTACTACAGCTCCGGCCCCAGTAACAGTTTCTTTCCATTACCACCATCATACCTCTCGAGGATCAAAGTAAGACCTGGCCAAGAGGTTCTCCAGGTGAATGTAGCGCTCTGGCTGTGTCTGTTTCAGCATGATCATGGGGTCAGTCTGTCTCAGAAGTGACCTGGCAGCACCCAACTCACGGAGTTCTATCAATTCCAGAACCACCTGGGTAAAGGGAAGAAAATGGCTGTTTCAGTGTATTCATTCAACATTGCTTTTCCAGTACAATTCTGATGCAGAAATGGCCTGCCAAAGAGATTTCCAATATTAGAAAACGTGTCTTCTCTTTTTCACAAGCAATTCAAGTGGACAACTAAATTATAAAAGGGCAGAGAGACGGTACAGTAGATAGGGCACTCGCCCTGCTTATGGCTGACTTGGGTACCCCATATAGCCCCACCAAGTTCCTTCATTCCTGAGTGCAGAGCCAGGAATAAACGCAGAGCACAGAATAGTGTGGCACAAACAAAGAATTATAAGTAGTAAGTTCAATCCTTCAACTCCCACCCTTTTCCTTGTTTGGTGGTGATGGAAACTGAATCCAGGCCTAGGGCCTCACACAGCAAGTACTCACTCCATCACTAAAGCACACTCCCAACCCCCCACCCAGAGTTAAGTTTTGGGGCCACACCTGGTTGTGCTCAGGTCTTACTCCTGGCTCTGTGAGACGGATTATTTCTGGCACTGCGTTGGGGCCACATGAAGTCAAACCAGGCCGCACGCTACTATCTCTCCAGTCTCTACTCTTTTAAAATATTAGTTTATCTATCAATCTTCTCTCCTCTCAAATCTCTTGTTCAAAATATAAGTGAAGTAAAGTAAAACTGTGATGATCTCCATGGACTCCAAAGGAACCTTTCTCCAGTTACCAACATTTTCCTAGAGGAATTGCCAAACTCTGGTGAACTACAAAGAAACAAATCCATTTTCTGATTTCCACTCCAAACAGCTCATTCTTATTTTCACAAAGTGCCCATACTCTCTCCTGGAATGGAGCTCCCCAAAGCCTTGGAACTTCCCTGTAAGAGGAATATCTGTTATTCTCCATGTTGCCATCACACCTGACTCAGTGCAAAGGAGAAGGTTCAATCACGGGTTCCCAGAAGGGCCAATTCATAAAGTGAATTCAATGAGACTGAAAGGCTGAAACTGTGGGAGCGAGATGAACATCCAGGAAGCGTTGGGGAGCCGGAGACCAAACAAAACCCAAATTAAGATTGCAAAGGGCCTTCCTGGTACAAGAGGATGCTAATGCGCCAGGGAGAGACCCCCATCCTTGAGGAGAGGCACGGGAAGCTCTGCATCCAGGCCCCTCACCCTATGCGTCTCTTCATTTGGCTAGTCTTGACCTGAATCTGTGCTAAAGAAGACTGTAAGTAAGTACAGTTCTTTCATGAGTTTTGTGAGCTATTCTAGCAAATTGTCAGTTCAGAAGGGGTCAAGGGGACTGCTGAATTTGCTGGCAACGAATCAGAAAAGGGGGTGGCCTGAGACTCCACAGTGCAGTTGTTGTCTGCAGAAAGGGCAGCTGTACCGAGGGCCGAACCCTTGTGAGCTATGTGAGAAAGAACCCTGGGTGGCCAGAATTTCAATTTGAGAAAAGCTTGGCCATTTCCAAAAAGAGAAAGTATAAAATAAGGAGTCCTGGAATTCTATCGTGTAAGGGGGGGAATGCTCACCACTAACTTCCCAGTCCTGGGTGACCCGCGAGCACTCCCACTCTTACCTGCTCATAAAGGTCAATGAGGGTTTTGTCCGGCAGTTTCAGAGACTGGATAGCCTGTAAGACAGTATCCCAGTGGCCACTATTAATGTCAGCCACAAAACTCTCGATGCTGTCCACGGTGTTGAGAGAGACGGTTGTCTCCTCCTGCAGGGTGGCTAGTGCCCGATGTAAACTGTTCTCCTTCAGGTACTGCATGATCAGACGGATCACACTGGAAAAAAGGAAAGACCTCTCACTCTGGGATCCTGGCTCCCCAGAGATGGCAAAGGAAAGCCCTCCACTTAATTCTCAGTCAACTAGCCTTCATTTCCATGTGTTTCATTTTCTTTTAGGAACACACCAAGCAGAGGTCAGGGGCCCAACAAAGTTTTGAGTGATCTCCGCAGCATGTTTTCCATTTCTTTTTCCGAGCTTGGGGGGGGGGGGGGGGGGCGGTGCTCCCAAGTAGTGCAGGGGAGGGAGGGGCTGGAGTCCACTCCCAGTGATCCCTCACTAATGGGGCTGGGACAGTTCAATGTGAGGGCACAAGGATGTGGCTGGTGCTTACGGTGTCTGGCACCACAGGTTCAAGTGCTGGGTGGGGTGGGGGTGGGGGGTGCGAGGGCACCACTTATACTTGGCAGTGCTGGGCCCTCCAAAGTTATAACCTGGGACCACGAATGTGGTACTGGGGAGCAAACCATACTCAGGGGTTACAAGGCATGACACTTAACCCCAAAGCTGTCTCCTGTTCCTTTACTTCCATTTCTTTACCATAAGCAAAACTCTCGAATCTCAGAATCCGGAGCAGGAGAGACAGTACTGCAGGTAGGGCGCTTGCCTGGAACACAGCTGACTAGGCCTGGCATATGGTCCCCGAGCACCACAAAGAGTGATTCCGGCATGCAATATCAGGAGTAACAACCTCTGAGCATTGCCAGGTGTGACCCCAAAACGCAACAAAACAAAACAATCAAAGAATCTAAGGGGACCAGAGAATCAGCGAGGCTTAGCTCCATCTCTGAAACAGGAGAACTAGGGCACAGAAAAGGGAAAACAATTTGTTCGATGTCTACATTTGCCAGGGAGTTGATTAATAAAATGACTCTCTTCCAAAGCTAGAGAGCACTTAATTATGCCCAGTTTCTTGTTTGTTTTTGCATAATTCCACTGCACACTGCAGTTGTGGGAAATGAGTGGCCCACTCTGGAGTTCTCAGGGCCATTCCCAGCAACACTAGGCCCAGTGGTGTGGGCCTAAGGGTTTAGTTCTCAGAGTCATAGCCAAAGCCACTGAGAGGGTGGAACTTGGTGTGAGGATTGAATTGGGGCCTCCACATACAAGCTGTATGCTCCGAATCTCTGAGTTACCTCCCCTGCCCCAGTGAAGATTCAGTTGGTTGTTACCATTTTGGTTTCTGGGCCTAGGTGCTCAGAGGCTAGTTCTGGTGGTGCTAGAGAACAACATGCAGTTATGGGGACCAAACTAGGGCTGGACACATGCATGACAAGCTCCTTCTTTGAACTATCTCCCTTCACCCTGAACATTTAAACCTAGGCTAGTCATCAACACAAAGTAATTGAAACAACTACAGGGCGATTTGGTTGTTTTTAAATAACAACCCCCCTAAAAGTGAACTGAGATTTTCTTAGATGAGATTTGCTGAACACAAATAAATAGAGCTATACTGCATGTAAAAGCAAAATAAAACTGTGCCTACTCACTGGCAAAAATAGCACCTATCCACAATTATTTCCTGGGGACGTGGGGTGCTGACCTCACCCAGTGGTGTTCAGGGGACCGTATATGGTGCTAGGGATTGTAAGGGGTCTGCCACATGCACATAAGTGCCTTAACCTCTGGCCCATATCCACTAACTTCATTATCAAAGTTTCAAAACAAACAGGAAAAAAAATAAAATCAAAGAACACTACACATTCAGGGAAAGACCCAATTTCCAAACACTGAGAGAATGTCAACATGTGACAGAAAGATTCTTAATTATTTGTAGTAAAGACACTTTGATCATGGGCCAGAGACACAGTACAGGGAGAACTTGCTTGCAAGTAAGCAACCCAGTTCTATTACTAGCACTAAATGGTCCCCCAAGCCCTCTGAAATGAATCCTGAGCACAGATCAAGAAGCAGCCTCTGAGCACCTCCAAGTGTGAGGCAAACTTCCCCCCCTCAAACAAAACAAAAACAGCTAAAACAAAATTTCCTATTCAATGAATCTGAAGAATCTGCTTATATAAACTCACTGTAACTGTACAACACTTTGATATTGTTTAAAAGCACATACATTTGAAAAGAAAAAAATAACACTTATGGTGGCGAGAGTGAGTACAGCTGGCAGGGCATTTGTCTTGCACACAGCTGAGCAAGATTCCACCCCCTGCAGCCCTCTGCAGCACCACGACACCATGAGCCCTGAGCATTGCCTGACCTCACTGATGTCTGAGTGCAGAGCCAGGAGTAAGCCCGAGCACCGCTGGATGTGTGTCTCCCGCCCTCCCCCCCCAGCACACACATCCAAATATATATGGCACAACAGTATTTCTACTGGACAGTAGTAGTATAGAGGCTTCGGTTGTCAGATTGGAATTTAATCAACTCCCTTTTCCAGGCGAGAAATGATCATCATAAAACCACCACCAGTGCTCACTGTTTATAACAGTCACTGTCACTGTCCTCCCATTGTTCATCAATTTGCTCCAGCGGGCCCAGTAACGTATCCATTTTGAGACTTGTTGTTACTGTGTATATCAATACGTCATGGGTAGCTTGCCAGGCTCTGCCATGCCGGCGAGATACTCTCGTAGCTTGCCGAGCTCTCTGAGAGGAGCGGAGGAATCGAACTCGGGCTGGTCATGTTGGCTGCGTGCAAGGCAAATGCCCTACCCGCTGTGCTATTGCTCCAGCCCACTTTTTATAACACACCAAGAAATATTCTAAGCCTTTTAGGTAAGAGTGGTTCACTTATTCCTCAAAACAACCCAGATAGGTAATACTAGTGTTGATTTCACAGATGAGGATCGGATCAAATAACAGAGAGAAGTGGGAAAATAAAGATTCAAATAGCAAAGCAAAACTCCTGCCGGAACTACCTACTCCTCCCAGTTGTCTCTTCTCTCTGTGGTCCCTCTAGGGAACCCCTAGGCGCTCCCATTTTCCTTCAGATGCTCTCAAGCGCACACCCACATGAGACACCCTCCCTGCAAAGACCTGACCCAGCAAAATCAGGCTCACTTCCTTCAAGCACAATGTCACACTCTGAGCTAAAAATGAGTTGACTGCGATTTGAAATCAAGAGTCCCACGTCTCACCGTGAACTTGGACAAGCCAGCCAACACCTCAGTGCCAGGCCCTGATCTTGGAAGAAAAAACCCCTACTCTGCAGCGTTGGTGAAAGGGTCAACTAAACTGTTTCTAACAAGTCAAGCGCAGAAAATGCTCCATACACAGAAGATTTGATCAATAATAAAAATATGCAGTATCCCATAGTAGGGGGGAGGGGAAGTTGGAAGCAGCTATGAAACAAGCTCAAAAGCATGAAATCCTTTTAGACTCCTGCTGAGGGGCTGAAGCAATAGCACAGTGGGTAGGGCGTTTGCCTTGCACGTGGCCGACCAGGGTTCAATTCCCAGCATCCCATATGGTCTCCCGACCACCACCAGGAGTAATTTCTGAGTGCAGAGCCAGGAGTAACCCCTGAGCATCGCCGGGTGTGACCCCAAAAAAGAAAAAGGAAAAAAAACTCCTGCTGGGGTGTCTTTTTAAAAAAATTTTAAATATAGTGATGTACCATTGGTTTTACAAGCGTATGAGCGCCTTCTATGCTTTTAGGGCTACAATGTTAGAACGCCCCTCTACCACCGTCCATAGGGCCCTTCCCTTTCGCTCCTTCCCCTCTTAGTTATGGGGTGTCTGTCTGATCCGCCCGCACTCTCCATCGCCCCTCTTGATTTTGTTTTTACTCACAATACTGACGACCACCTGCTAAGTCTCATTTTGGCGCACACTCCCCCACGACACACATACAAAGGGGCATTCTCTGATGGCAGGGACCTGTCTGCTCGGCTCACCTCTGCACCACCCCGAGTCCGGCACAGCTCGCTGTAGCCTTCAACATTCGCTAAGTGCAGGAGTGCATGACCCTCCCTGCCTCCCAAGGCAAGTCTCCCAAGGCCGGGTCCTCTCCTCCCCGCCCCCTCCCCGGGGCACATGGGAAACTTGCTGCCAGTTTCCTTCCAAAGTGCCAGCACGGGCCAGGCTGGGGGAGGGGGGTGGGAGGGGAGAGATGGGAGTCCCGGAGAAGTGAGCTGCACAGCCCCTCTGCGTTCATCAGTCCAGTCGCACCCACCCTCCTCCATGCCACCCCTCCCCGCAAAACTACCCAACCTTCCGACCCCGGCCCCCAGCCCCCCAGGCTCCGACGATTCTCCGGAACTACGGAGAGCTGCTGCCCAGGCTGAAGAACTCAGGCCCGGCGGGTGGTCTGATGCAACGGCCCCCAGTTCACCCACTGCAAAGGAAGGACAGCGCCAGGGACGTCGAACCCGAGCATCCCTGCGCAGCAGCGCGTCGCGGGGCCGAGCCGCCGGGCACGATCAAACTCGGGTCCTGCCCCACCCCCACCCCCGCGGGACCGCCTTCCGGGTGGCCTCTGCGCGGACACGGGCAGGCCCCGCCGCTCCCTCGCCTCTGGACTGCCTCCCCCCACTCCTTGGCAGACATCCGTCCCCGCAGGACTCACTCCGAGGACTCGATTTCGATCGACATAGCGGAATCTCGCCGCGAAGGGGCTCCGCTCCACGATCAAGCCAGGCCCCGACGCGCCACCAGTCTGCGTCACTTCCGACGTTGGCCTGACGTCACTTCCTCGCGCCGGGACAACCCGCTCGGGGGCGGGGCGTACTGGAGGGGGCGGGGCGTTAGGCGGGGCGTCAAAAGGCGGTGGAGATGGGGTTGGGCTATGCGTCCGCTCGCGGGAGCGATTCCGGTTTGCGACCGGAAGGGGAGCTTTTTGCTTCTTTTTTTCCCTTTGTTTTTATTTTTAAGGTTTTTTGTTATTGTTGTTGCGGGGTACACCTGTTGGAAGGTGAATACCTGAGTATGCATATTCCTGGCAGGCTCTGGGGACTGTATGGGTGACGGAGCTCGAACCCTGGGCAGACGCGTGCAATGCAAGCGCTTTACCTGCTGTACTATCGCAGGGGTGTGTGTGGGGGGGGGGGTTCTGCTTCGAAGAGATTGTGTAGAAGTGCTGCTTGGGTTTCATGCAATTCGATTGACAGATAGGATTGAATTTGCAATTCCTGACTCCTGACTGGTAGATTAATTCATTCGAAACTAATAAACAAATGCTCGTGTTTATCGCAAATGCTGGAGATTTGAATTTCAAAACAAAAAAATGTGAAATATTTTGTAGCTTAAAACAGTTTATTTAGCCTAATAATAAAAAAATTGGGGACCCTTGGGGATGAAGTCATAGTTCAGCCGGTAGGGTGCTCCCCTTGTGTGCCACCGACCCGGGTTCAATCCCTGGCAGCTTAGTCCCTTGACCCCTACGGAAGTGATCCCTGAGCACCAACGGGTGTGGCCCCAGAAGGAACAAAAAAAAGTTTGGAACCAGATAGGGTCTGCACACCTTTTTTTGGGAAAGAGCAAAATTAAAGCATTTCCCACTAATACTTCGTTGGAAAGGACTTGGAAGGAATTTTACAATTAAATGCAAATATCTAAAGGAAAATTTGAGAGTCCTTCTAAGAGAACTTCAATCATTTCTCTCCTTTTTTTGCCAGTGTTCAGCGGTGGTTAGGGACCATCCTACGCCAGCATGGGATTTTTAAAGCTCTGGCTGTCAATGCTGCCCCCATTTAAATCTTTCTCACCCATGCTGGGAAAACTGGATAGCTACCTGCAAAAAAATGAACGCTGACCTCTGTCTAATGATGGGCACAAAAGTCAGATCAAAGTGGATTAAGGACCCCAATATCAGGCATGAATCCATAAGGTACAAAGAGGAAGATGTAGGCAGAACTCTCCACAACATTGAAGCTAAAAACATCTTTAAGGATGAAATAGCACTGACAATGCAAGTGGAAGCAAACATAAACAAATGGAACTACATCAAACTAAGAAGCTTCTGCACTTTAAAAGGAACAGTGACCAAAATACAGAAAGAGCCTACAGACTGGGAAAGAATATTTACCTAATACCCATCTGATAAGGGATTAATAGGTAAAGGTAAAGGCCCTCCCGTTGATCATCGATTTGCTCGAGCGGGCCCAGTAACGTCTCCATTGGAGACTTTGTTGTTACTGTGTCTGGCATATCGAATACGTCACGGGGAGCTTGTATCCAGGATATACAAGACACTAGTAGAATTGTACAAGAAAAAACCTCCAACCCCATCAAAAATTGGGGAGAAGAAACGAACAGAAGTTTTCTCAAAAAAGAAACACAAATGGCCAAAAGGCACATGAAAAAAATGTTCCATATCGATAGCCATCAGGGAGATGCAAATCAAAACAACAATGAGATATCATCTCACACCAGAGACTGGCACACATTCAAAAGAATAAAAGCAACCAGTGCTGGCAAGGTCTCAGGGAAAAAGGAACACGCTTTCACTGTTGGTGGGAATGCCCAATAGTCCAGCCTTTCTGGAAAACAATATGGACAGTCCTTCAAAAACTAGAGATTGAGTTTCATATAACCCCGCAATACCACTTCTGGGAATATATCCCGAGGATGCAAAAAAGCACAGTAGAAATGACATCTGTACCTCTATGTTCACTGCAGCACAGTTCACAATAGCCAAAATCTGGAAACAACCCAAGTGCCCTAGAACAGATGACTGGTTAAAGAAACTCTGGTACATCTACATAGTGGAATACTATGTAGCTGTCAGGAGAGATGAAGTCATGAACTTTGCTTATAAATGGATAGACATGGAGAGTATCTTGCTAAGTGAAATGAGTCAGAAAGAGAGGGACAGGCATAGAAGGACTGCACTCATTTGTGGAGTCTAAAACAACATAACATGAGACTGACACCTAAGGACAGTAGATACACGGGACAGATAGATTGCTCCATAGCTGGAAGCCTGCCTCATGAGCAAAGGGGAGTAGGAAGCTGGAATAGAGAAGGGATCACTAAGAAAAAGTTGGCTTGAGGAATCAGTCGGGATGGGAGATGTGTGCAGAAAGTAGATAAAGGACCAAACATGATAGCCTCTAAGTATCTGTATTACACACCATAATGCCCAAAAGTAGAGAGGGAGTATGGGAAATATTGTCTGCCATGGAGGCAGGGGGAAGGTGGGAAAGGGGGGGTATACTGGGGATATTGGTGGTGGGGAATGTGCACTGGTGGAGGGATGGGTGTTTGATCATTGTGTGACTGTAACCCAAACATGAAAGCTTGTAACTATCTCACAGTGATTTAATAAAATTAAAAAAAATCTTTCTCACCCATATTTTCTCTGTAATAATACACTTGATCTTGATCTTTTAGTTACCATCTGCTATGAAACTGAAATCTTTACCAAATTAGAGCCGCCCCCATTCCCGACTAAATTGATAAGTATATTGGTCCCAACTACATAACTTGTCAGTTACCATATCCTTTTTACCACCCAAATCATATACATTTATTATCTTGCTGAACTCTTAATAGCTAGTTGATAAGGACAACTGCTAAAGATCAATTTGTGCAGCTAATTTTAACATTAGGTCTCTCACTTCATGGATGGATAAAGAAATTCAAAACAGGCACACAACACTGACAACTTTTCACCTCTAAATTAAGAAGTTCTATTGTTCAGAAAGTTTCCTACCCAGACCCGGAGGCTGGTTCACAGTCTCCCGGGGCCTGATTACTGACTTTTGGTGAACAGCCTAGAGCCTACCCGAAAGCTGAGTCTCTTGACCACATCCGTCTTCCGAAAACTGGTCCTTCCCGGAAGTCTACATCTCTGCAATTAAGCTCTGTAAACCAGCAGAGGGCAGCCTGACCACAGAAAAAGTGGAGGAGAGGTATGCCGGGGCTATCCCCAGTGGGACAAAGGAAATAACAAGTAAGTAAAGTAAAGTAAAGGCCCTCCCATTGATCATCGATTTGCTCGAGCGGGCCCAGTAATGTCTCCATTGGAGACTTTGTTGTTACTGTGTTTGGCATATCGAATACGTCACGGGGAGCTTACCAGGCTCTGCCGTGCGGGCGAGATACTCTCGGTAGTTTGCCGGGCTCTCCGAGGGGGGTGGAGGAATCGAACTCGGGTCGGCCATGTTGGCTGAGTGCAAGGCAAACGCCCTACCGCTGTGCTATCGCTAGCTAATGAACTAGATCAATTTCATCTAATATGGCAATAAGGGAAAGTTTAGAGAAAATTTATCACACAATTCTAGGGGCTCTGGACAGATCATGATTTCAAAGTGTTTAGCAGTTCCCACCTCCTCCCTCAGGGCAGGAATTCTCTAAGAAAGACCTTCATCCTTTTAGTATACCTAAGTGAATGAAAGTCACCTGCTCCAACCTGTAGTAACAATTGTTTTCCTGCAATTCCCAAAGAACAAGCCTGTCCTGGATTCAAAGAGAGAGAGGGAGGGAGGGTGGGAGGGAGAGGGAGAGAGAGAGAGAGAGAGAGAGAGAGAGAGAGAGAGAGAGAGAGGCACCTGCTAGAAGCCTGAGTGATAATACAACAGGTAGGGCATTTGCCTTGCACACTGTTGACCTGGGTTCAATCCCATATGGTCCCCCAAGCACCGCCAAGAGTGATTCCTGAGTGCAGAGCCAGGTATAACCCCTGTGTATTGCTGGGTGTGACCCAAAAACAAAAAGAAAATAATTGAATCAGTGATTCAGTTTTAAAAAGTTAAAAAGTGGGGCTGGAGAGATAGCACAGCGGGTAGGGCGTTTGCCTTGCACACGGCCGACCCGGGTTCGATTCCCAGCATCCCATATGGTTCCCTGAGAGCCGCCAGGAGTAACTCCTGAGTGCAGAGCCAGGAGTAACTCCTGTGCATCGCCAGGTGTGACCCAAAAAGGAAAAAAAAAAAAGTTAAAAAGTGTATTTCTCCTCATGTGCTCATTTGACTTTGTGTTGTGAGGATGGGGTACACTGCTGATGCTCAGGGGCTATTCCTGGCTCTGTGCTCAGGGATCACTCCTAGCAGTACTCTAGGGGCCTATATATGGTGCCAGGAATCAAACTGAAGTTGCCCTACATGCTAGACAAGCACCTTAACTCTATACTATCTCTTTTGTCCCTTATACACTCATTTGGAGTAGGGGATGGGGCCACACTTGGCAGTGCCCAGGGTTTACTCCTGGCTATGTGCTCAGGGATCATTCCTGAAGGTGCTCAGGGGATTCTATGTGGTGACAGGGGTTCAATGGCTCCCAGTACTACTTGGTCTCTCATGCATTCATTTTCATCAAGGAACTTTCCCAGAATCTTTTCCCCTTTCAGTTGGTACATTGACTCAGGTAGCATATATCCATGGTCACATTGACTCAAGGTCACATGGTCACCAGGCAAAAGGAACTCAATATGCACACTGGAGCTTTGGTGTGCTTTTCTTTTTTAATTGAATCACCATGAGATACACAGTTACAAAGTTGTTCACGATTAGGTTTTAGTCATACAACGTTCCAACACCCAACTCTTCACCAGTGTGCATTTCCCACCATCAAGGTGTTTTCAGTTTTGTTTTTTGCCACTTCTAGCGATGTACAGGGCTTTAGTCCTGCCTCTGCCATGAGGACTCAGAGCAGTTGACCAGTTCAGAGGCAGGGAACCAGGGGCCATGAGATGAGGCTGACTTAGCTGGAAGGGACAGAGAATGGGACCA